CCATTTTAAAGTTAGTAATAGATTTTTAATTAATAGATTTTATTAATTTTAAATAGTTTTGTAGAAGACATGTATTTATACAGTAAATCAGTTAAAAAGGATATCTTATTATATTGAACTTCCATTTTAAAGTTAGTAATAGATTTTTAATCAATATATTTTATTAATTTTAAATAATTTTTGTAGGAGAACAAATGATTTTTAATATATTTTTTAAAATGATTAGTTAGTTTCGAACAAATAATTTAAAGTTAGGAGATTTTGTAGGAGAACAAATGATTGTAGGAGAATAGATTTTTAATCAATATATTTTCTTAATGTATTCATACAGTTAGTCAGTTAAAAAAGATATCTTATTATATAAAACTTCAATTTTTGAAATTAACCATTCAAATAATCATGACACTGTCAAATCAACTGATCAAATTTTGACATATATTTTAATTAAAATTTATTAATAAATAAAATTTATTTAAAAAAATTATACTAATCCTAAAAAGATAAAAAACTAAAGTTTAGGAAATTATACAATTAAATACTTATCATACAAAAATGACAACGTTCAATTTATAAAAAAGCATATATATAAATATTAATCTTATAAGAAAAAACAACTAATATATGTATAGAAGATAAATAAACATTTGTACGCAGATCTTATCTAATATCTTATTAAGATTTGATGTTTCGAAGTTATTAATCAAAACAATCGTGACACATGTTAAGTATATTGATAAAATTTTGATTTGTATAGCGGTAATAAATATATTAATAAATACATGAAGTTTCATAAATAATATTAAAAGGAAAAAAAATTGAAAAACAAAAAGCGGAAAATCGTTTTTTCAATTAAAAATAGAAAATAAAACAAAAGTAAATAAAATTTCAGTTTAGAAAAAATATATAATCAAATAGTTATCCTAAAAGAAAAAGAAATAAAACATTGATTTAAGAAAGTATACAATCACATATTTCAATTATGAAAATGGAAAATAAACAAAAAAGTAAAAACTTTAGTTTAGGAAAATGTAAAATTAAATCCAATCCTAAAAGAAAAAGAAATATACTACTAACTTCTATATAAACAACATTCAGGGAGGTGTATTGAAACTGAAATTTTAGAGAATTTGAAAAAAGATTTAAATTTTAATAAACTTTTTGGTGAGATTTGGGGAAATATTTTCAAATATTTTCTATAAATTTTCAAATTTTTATAAATTTTTATCATTTGATATGATTTTCAAATATTTTCAAAGATTTGTTTAATAAATATTTCTGATTTTATATTTTTAACTAACAAAGTCCACCAAATTACAATTTGAATTCATTTTGTGCGTATTTTTAAATGATTTGGTGGAGTTTTTTAGTTAAAAATATAAAAACCCAAAACTCATTGTTTTAAGTGAGATTTCATATAATTTTAATATCAAATCATATAAATTTTTCCAGTCCACATAAAATCATTTAAAATTTTATTAACACTTAAATCTTTTCAAGTTCTCTAAAATTTTAGTTTCAATACACCTCTCCAAAAATTCTATAATTATTTATCGTTAATTAAAATTTTACCACGACATTTTGTTTGACTATAATTATTGTTTTGATGAAACATAAGGTTTTGTGTGGAAAAACAATAAAACTTATGAATTATTATTTGGAAATATAAGTAAATTAATTTTGTTTTCAATTCCATTATATTAAGAAGTTAAAGTATAATCACAAAATAATGATGTTACTGACCAACAAGGCACAAATTTATGAAAATAAAAGTCTAAGCCATTTGGGATTGGATTCTTGGTAAAAGCGTCTGCTACTCTATTGATGTTTCTTGGCACCCATTTGAACTGAACATCCGTGAATTTCGACCTCCATTATTTGATGTCCCTGAGCCAGTTAGCCACTCTGAAATTCAGGCATGTTTCATCAAGGAGATCAAATATTTTTTTACAATTCCTTCAAAACTGATATGTGTATATTCTTTACTCCAACCATTTTGCATCGCATATATAAGAGCCTGGAGTTCTCCTTCTAAAGCATTTATAGCTATTAAGCCAAGACCCTGTCCTCCACCAAGATACATTCCATCACTATTTCTATACACACAACCCGACTGAGTAGGGACATTTCCATCGAAGAAGGACCCATCAAAATTACATTTGATCCAATTCTGCGGTGGGCGTTTCCAATGGTCTTGTTGTACATCTTCATTTGTATTGTCTCTTCTTCTATAGATCCGTCGTTGGTGATTCTCTACTCCATATTCATTTAAAATGTCAAACCACTCTTGAGCATCACTGATTGAGTAGCGAAGTAGGCGTCTCCAGAGTGTTTATTATTTCGACTTTTCCACAATCTCCAGAGTATACATAAAAGCAGTTGTTTTACTGATGGAACAGGAAGCATAGTTTCAGCTGGTTTTCAAAAGATTGTTTCAATGATAAAATTTCTTGAACCAGTATCCCAAAGAGTCTCCATAGTTGTTGTGCATAGTCGTATTCAAAGAACAAATGATTTGTTGATTCTTCGGTTGTGCAGCAATGTCGACACATTGACTGTTGAGTTAAGTGTCTTCGTTTTAGATTTTCCCCAAGGGCCAAAGAGCCTGATAACATTCGCCAGAAGAAATGTTGCTTTTTTTGGGGTTGTCTTAAGTTTCCAAACATCACTTTTCATTAGAATATCTCCATTTGGTGCACACGCTCTCTGTTGGTGCAGTGGGTGAGTAGCTAACCAGTAACCTGATTTAACTGTCTAGATTCTATTTTCATTGTAATGCTATCCAAGTCGGTCATAGGTTGCTGTTGGATTTAAATTAAGTCCAAGGACAATATTAACATGATCGGGGTGAACCAGCTACTGTACTTTAGTTCCCATCCCAAACCTGAGCGGTTGAACCACTGGCAAACTTTTACATTCTCTGGGATGCCAATTCTCTGTCATCAGGGGAGGGTGTAGGAGCAATCAGGGATCAGACCAAGCTTCAACAGGTGTCCCATCTCCAATGAAAAACCTTAAGCCTTGACGTAGTAGAACTCTGCCTTGAGGAATAGATTTCCAAGCATATGAAGCTTTACATCGTTGTTGTGCGTTTAAAATGTTATTGTGTGGATAGTAGAGGCCACATAGAACTCGTGACATGAGACAAACTGGATCCTGTAGTACCCGCCACACTTGTTTTGCCAACAAAGCTATGTTGAAATTTTCTAAGTTTCGGAATCCTAATCCTTCTTCACGTTTTGGTAAACTCAGGTAAACTCATTCGATTCCAAGAAAACCAATGCATACTTTTTGTATCGTTTATTGAACCCCACCAAAACTTAGTCATTATACTATTTATCTCCTCACAAATACTTTTATTTAGCTTAAAAATATTCATTGAGAAAAATTGGCATTGCTAAGGAAACTGATTTGAGTAACACTTCCTTTCCACTTAGAGATAGCGAGGTTTTCCTTCATCTTTGTGTATGTTCTTTTACTCAGTCTATAATGTACCTGAACATATCTCTTTTTTTGCTCACAAACTATTGTGAAAGACTAACATATTTACCGCTTCCACCTTTGTTATATAAAATAATTTTTTATAAATATATAATTATGATAATTTATTAAAATATGAGTATATTATTGTTTTCATATTAATATTAAAATATTTTATTAATTTTATTAAATTTTATAATCAAAATTTTGAAAAATATTATAAATTTTTAACGAAAATATTTTTTTAGTAAATTATTAATAAACAGTATATTTTATCCAAATTCGTTAAATTAATAATTCTATAAACTAATAAAATATCAAAGTTCCAACATTATTAATTTATAAAGTTTGTATTGTATACTTTTAACAATGTTTAATAACTATAAATTTAATTGTATGAATAAACACTTCTAAGCATATAAAAAATGGAATAATTATATGCCTTTTTGTTTTTTATAAAACCATAAACTATAAATCATAAACCCTAAACCTTAGCAAAAAGATAAATATTTTTAATGGATTTGCTGCGGTCCGTCACAGTTCCCTCGTAAATATTGTTTTACTCTACCACCGAAAATGCGTATATATGTATTCCATTTTATGTTAATAAGGTTAAAAGTGTTTATTAATATAATCAAATGTATACTTATTATAAGTATTTTAACAATTGTACATTATTATAAGTACCTAAGCATTTTTCTTCTAACTCTTTTACTTATCTATTAAGTTTAATTAACCACATCTTATGTTGATTTTAATATGATATACATTTTTCAAGTTTTAGATATAGTATTACTATAACATCATATACTTTTATTATACACACTTTTAATCACAATCAAATGAATTTAAATTCGTTTTAAAAGTATTTTTAGATGTTTTGAAAAATTCAAAATTTATTTTTATAACTTATTTCAGTAGTACTCGCAAATTTCTCATAATTGATCGTAAATATTACTACAGAGAAGCTGCATTGCAAATTAATCGCAAATTGTGACATACTTGCGACTTGTTTTTTATCTGCTGTAAATACGCCACAAAGCCATCACAAATTTGCGGCTCATTGCGATGAATAATATTTTTGAAAATTTGTGATAAATTTGTGACAGATTTCATATTGTGTCGCAAATCTGTCGCAAATCCATCGCAGATTTTCGAGGAATATTTTTCATTGCAAAATTCCGGTACAAATCGAATGCTATTTTTTGTAGTGAATCTTATATTAATTTGAAAACATAATTATGTAATAATGTCGCTTTTTTATATTGGATAATTTCATATGAAATTTTAACTTATAAAACAACCGTTTGTTGGATCCATTATTCTGACTTAAAATTAAACATCTCTTTAGATTAAACATATCTGCAGTGTTACAATGGGTTTGAATAGGACAAATCTAGCGCTAGCGTACTCTGAGTTTCTTCAAGATCTCTGTGAATAGGTATGGATGATATTGAGTGTCTTGCGTGGTATATACCTAAAAACTCATAAATCAAAGGCGGGTTTGAGTTATTAATTTGTAATGTTTTATGTATACCTTCACGTTAAAAAGAATTTTATAAGCATTATGGAGGCTAAGACCAATAAAAAAAGCATGATTTATTAATCTCAGTGATTGAATGCATGTAATATTACAAATTAATAACTCAAACAGTAAGAATAATGCCTTCAACTAATTAGTTCTTTTACTTTGGAGCCAATGCTTTGATGGCCATCTTCTCACCGGCGGCACAATCATATTCATTATATGTCCCGATGTAATAGCTGTAACCATAAGGAAGTTGGATCCTATCGTTGCCAGACTCATACTCTTTCGATCCAGCGTTCGGTATACACGTTTCATAACCCGTTCGGTTTACCACCACCACTCTGCTGACATCATCATCGTATTTGAATACTGCAATGTAACACCACAAATAAATCTATTGTTTTTAGTAAGATTTAAGACACTTAATTAAAATTGGGTCGATAAACATCCGGCTCTTATTAAGGTTGGGCCGGATTACTATTTTATTAGACCAAATTAATTAAATTTATGCTACCTAACTATGATTTGTTTTATCTATATATAGCATTACCATGATTTTTTTCTTTCTTTACATACCGAGAATGTCGCCAGCATAAAAGGTTTTGCCTCGGGCCCAAGAGTCCATCGGAATAATTGTGTCCCAACCGAATTTACCTCCGACATAGTAGGTGGCTGGCCTTCGGGCATGGCTCACGTTGTTGGCTAGAAGCAAGCATAAAACTGTCATGACAATAGCTATTGGAACAGTAGACGCAACATATGAAACATGTCCAGATGATCGAGCCATTTTGGTCAGTGGTTAAAAAGTTTTTGGTGAAATAGTACACACTTTTATGTTTATATTTATATAAGCTGCAACTGGTTTATAAATGAAAGAAATATATTGAATAAAAAGAATGATTATAATTGGATTGGGATGATAAATAATATGGAATGAAAAATTGAATTATTAGTATAGTAGTGAATTCCATTCATCCCATCTAATCCTCTATATATATATTTAGGAAATAGAATAAATAAAAAAAAGTTTTAAGAAGGATTTGTTTTTCTTTTCCATTTAGAAAATGGAATATGTGGAATTGTTCCAATAAATGTATTCCATAAAAATACATCCCAGTGGCAGCCAGATTTTTAATCGATATATTTTCTTAATTTTACAGATTTGTTTTTTAGGAGAAAATCCATGTATACATGGTTAGAATATATATAAGTTACTAGGGGCTTGATTGGTTACTGCTGTAACTTTCATTTTTTTGCTGTAGAAATAAATCTGTAAGTTTTTTGCTTTGGCTGTAGATTTTAATTATGTAGATTTTAGTGCTGTAAGATTATTAATTTTTCAAAGTCCAAATTTTTTCATTTACATATTTTTCTTTCTACAGCCAAAAAAATTAAAAAAAGAAAGAAAGATCTGTAGCTTTAAAAAATCTGTGTAAAGTATGATTGGGAAAACTTTAATGCTATAAAAAAATTATGGCTGTGTACAGATTCTACAGCACTTACCAATCAAACCCTAGATTAGAACTCGTGTATATGAGAATTCAGAAATTGTATTAAAACTTATAAACAGTAAATTGAAAATAAAAATAAATAACTTTAATTATATTTATTTTTGTATTTATATTTGACTTTTTTAATTAAAATATTTATTACACGTGGTAAAATTTGACTAATTGACTTACATACATTTCAATCACTTTAACTTAGACTATGATTTTTATATACATTGATTTATATTAACTCTTACAAAATTTATTAAAAAGAAACTGAACACGAAAAAGTAAAAAAAAAGATTATTTTAAACATTAAAAAGTAAGATTGAACATTTTTTGCAAAACCACTTATAGTAAAACTGACATAAGATACCGGTTTTCTCCTTCGGTCTGTGTTTACTTTTATATTTTTTTAACAATAAATATATTACCTAAATTTATATTTTATTTTTGTTTTAATCACGTCACATGTCAAAATCTTAATTAAAAAATTTGATACATGTCACGATCGTGTGAATTACTAACTTTGATGCATCCAACTTTATATAGCAAAATATCTAAAATCTTTTATCATAGTCAAACTACAATTTTGTAAAGAGACATTAACAAAAAGGCACGTTGGAAAGAGTGCTTATATGAAAAGCTACTTTGGCCAACATAAATACTTGTAATGTGTAAAAGAACGATTATATCCTTATTGTTTCACCTTATTTCGTTAATAACATTTTACATATGTAAAAAGCTAATATTTTACTGAAACAGAAAACCCTAGGGACGATCATATTTTTCTTCGCCGTCGTTGAGGACACGAATCCGGCAAATCAATTGATTTCGTGTTTCTTCATTCATATACTAGTAATTGGAGCCTTTCGCTGCTGCGGATCTGCATAACACTGCATGACAGGAGTTAGGTATTGGATCCGAAGATGATGACGTCAGATCCCGACAATTCAGGTAAGAAGAAGTTTGTTTATAGTCTGAAATTGGAGATTTTATTTAGATACTTCAATTATTAAGTACTTAAAAGGGTTATTATAGCGAGTTGTAGAAATCCGATGGTTCTATTTGTTGCCTATTTGATTCAGCCGCCGCAGTTGAAGCAATTCAGGTGCCGGACGAAAATCTGCCACCACGGTTGTTTGAGACGCATCCACAGTTAGTTATCTACCGACAAATGTCCACAGTTGGTTACTGCATGGAGAATGGTGTCAATCTGTTTGTAGAGTTGTAATAATTGTATTAGGGCGTACACGAGAGGTCGTCCATATCGAGATCTCCAAACATCCTTGTATATGACCGTGTACCCCATTGTTCATGCATTTCACTGGTTTGCAATTGTGTTCTATTTGCAGGGATTAACCAGAGATATACAAGTGGGAGGTATTTTCTGGATGTAACTGCGTAGTCAGTGTTTGTATTTTTGTTTGTAGTGTTGTAATAATCTATGGGCATGAGTTCTTTAGAACACATCCACAGTTGGTTATCCATAGACAAACGTCCACAGTTGGTAACCGCGTTGAAAGTGTTGTCGCGTAAATACTTAAGTACGCATCCACAGTTGGTTATCCACCGACAAACGTCAATAGTTGGTTACTGCATGGACAGTGATATCTTTCTGTTTGTAGAGTTATAATAATTTACAGATGTGCATACTTTAGTACACATCCATAGTTGGTTATCCATGAACTGATATCCGTAAACAAATTTATTATGTCGTCCGCTAGAGGTCATCCATAAAGAAATTTATTAAGGCACAATTACTTTCAAAGGTGAATTTTTGGAGAAACTCAATCTTCAGTTCCGTGGACAATCATCGTCAGATATACCTCCACAAATTACGACCATAATTATGTAGGTTCCAACCCAATACAAGGTAGGTTTATATTCTCAAACGAAGACGACTTATATGCTGACGTGTGGATGGATAATTATGTGGTTATCCAGATGCAAACACACAGGGAAGGTGCAACAACAACGGTGCATCTATGGGTAATAAAAATGTTGTATCTCAAGTCGACCATGTCCATGAATGTCTTGTATAGATGCATGAAGAAGAGTTTAATGACGTGTGAATATATCGTTTTATTTCTGATAACATGCGTATGTCCATAAGGATAAACAAACATTTAAATTTGAAAATTGTTAAAAGATTAATCATTTACGTCGATTAACTTCTGTGGATGACGCAGTTTGTCTAAACGTTCGCATAAATGTCAACCATATCGGTACATCCATGATCAATCAAAAGTTAATGACCATGACCAATCTCCTCGAAATTGCTAAAAGTTGTTGTCGGTACGATTAATTTCTATGGATGTCTTGTCTAGTCGTCCATAAGGTGTCAGCCATATCGGCGCATCCATGAATATTCACAAAGTTTGGGTTTCTGAAATCCCATGTACATGTCCAGGTATCCACGTTATCATCAAAAAGTTGTGTGTGTATTCGTATCCACGTTATGGCATCCACAGGCGTCGACGGATATCCACTCTGGTCCGTATTTTTATAAATTTAGTATATAATAATATATTTTATTATATATATATATCTATCATATTATATATTTTTATTTTATCTTTATTGTTATGCTATCAATTTCTTTCTAAATTTTCAATTATAAAAAATAGATGACTAAATAACAAAAAATAAGTAAATAAATAATACGTTTAAAACTTCAAATTCTATAATAAATAAAATTCTATTTTATATTAGTTAATAAATATCAACAAAATTTTTTTTTAAAAAAATAATATTATAGTTTCAAATAGTTAGTATTATTTTTAAATGTAAAATATCAATTTTTCTCATCTTAATTGTGTAAGTTTACTTTTTATAGATTTTTTCTGCAATAAAAATTTTTCATTTATTTATTTTTCACTTAATATTTAGAAGAAAATTATATATTTTTTAACAAAATTTAATGTATTTTCAGCTTTGTGTGTGTATTAAACGGATCAAACTAAATATTCACAAATATGAACAAATATTTAAAATAAAATTAGATATTTGTATTATATCCAAAAATCCGGATATTCATATTATATCCGAAAATCTGGATATCCATATATTTTTGAAGCAAACCAAATTATAAAATTAAATATCTATTAAAAATAGAGCAAACCATAAATACAAGAAATTTTTTGGATATTTGATCCTTACCGAACCCAGTAGGATATATTGTACGTTATAACATAGTCAAAGTTTTACCTTAGTCAAAAGAAATATTGTGTTAAATATTTTGTCAACATTATGTGTCATTTTTTAATCGATATATATTCTTATTTTTTTATTTTCTTTTTTCTTCTATGAGACATGTATACATGGTTAGAAGAGATTTTTTTATCATATAAATTTTGATGCGTCAAAGTTAGTAATTAACATAATCGCAGCACATGTTAAGTTTTTTTTTTGTCAACACATATTAAATTTAATTAATTCAGATTTTGACATTTCCATGATTAGAGTATATTTTTAAAAGAAAAGAAAAGAAAAAATGATATATTAGTATTCCAAAAAGGGAAATAAAATAAAAGGTATATGAAATAAAATAAGTATATATACAATTACTTTCATTTTAGAAAAATATATAATTAAGTAGTATTTTTTTAGAATATATCTTATCTTATTATCTAAAGGTTAATGTTTCAAAATTAATAATTATAATTGTGTCAAGTTAAACAATCAGATTTTGACACATGTTAGTTATTTAATTATATAAATACAAAAACATTCATTTACTTTTAAAAAATTTGGGAAACTAGAGTTTTTCATTTGCACTTTTGGCAAGATAATCCCACATATCAAGTTGGCAAACTAATCTTTTCAATATGGTTTTTTACCAATAATACCACCTAATATTTTAGTATAGTGTTGTGATTTGTTCATGGTATTTTGTTAGTTTTTACATTTATTAAGGAAAAAGAGATAAATGATTAGATTGCAAACTTTTGAAAATTATATAAGATTATTTTGCCAAACGTGTTCCGGTGTAGTTTTTAAATTATCTTTTTTTTATGTCTTATGAAAAAAAAGTCAAATATAGTTAAACAAAAAATTTAAGATTTAGTTCATCTAGAAATAATGAAATGTAAAATTTAATTAGTCAATTTTTTTAGAATGATATATCAATGTCTGTTCTAGGAAAAATGAACTGTTACAAATATTTCAGTTACCACTTTCAAGCCAATACTTTGATGGCCATCTTCATATCGTAGGAACAATCTGCATGTTTCTTTGTCCCGATAGCTATAACCATAAGGAAGTCGGATCCTATCGTCGCTGCATATGTATTCTTTCGCTCCATCGTTTACTATACACGTTTCATAACTGGTTCGATTTACCACCACCAAATAGATGATC